CTGCAGTCTCATGTTTACTTACTGCAGGAGTAAGCTCTCATTGAACTCTATAAAGATGCATGTGCTTGGGATGCACAGTTGCAATAGGTACTACTACACCTTTTCTATTTATGTTCCCTCCATCCCTTAACTATCAACCCATTGCAAATGGGGCAGCAGTCTTCATGGCAGAGAGGTGTAGCTGAGCAAGGACTCAGTCTTGTCCGCCTGGTAGGAAGATGAGGAATATCCCTTGCTTTCGGATTACATGGGGCTGACCTGAAAGCAGCCACTTTTCAACAGAATGATTTAAAAAGGGAGAATGTGGTGTGGAATTCCTGAGCTATCGGCTAGTTTCATTCTATTCACTTAGAATTCAGGTGAAACCAGATTTCTTTTTCTCAAGGTTGGGAACTTAGCATATCAATACTGGGAAAATTGTGGCGCCATCGATTACTGCTGTGTGTTGAATCATCCTGCTTTTATGTTTGGGCTTTGCATAGATAGGCTGTGCATTGTGCATTTCAGTGCCTTCTCTGCTATACATCTTATGCATATATTAAAAGTTGGTGCTGGGTTTTGCTTCTTCCTCTTCCCTCTCTGTCACTCCTTCCTTTTGTGCCATGTTGTTTAGAGAAAGCCTAGCTGGTGGGGACTGTTTTATTTGAATTGGTTGCATTTAAGCTGCCCTGAGAGTGCCACTTTTCCGGGCGAAGCGTGGGCTGCACATGTTCTGGTATTGTAATAAATGTTCTATTATGCAACAATATATTGTCATGATAGCCCTGCCAGCTTCGTGCATCAGATGGAGACTGCTCTAATTTGCATTCTGTTAGTTTTAATGGTGCCCAATATTCCTTTTTAATTTTTAATTTTTGGAATGTTTTATTTTTGGAATGTTTTGCAAAGGTATGAGGAAGCAATTTTGTGGAGGACAGTGGGAGAGTGCTGTAGTGCTCATGCCCGGCTTGTGGGCTTCCTAGAGGCATCTATATGGTTGGCCATAATAATAAATTATTATTTATACCCCACCCATCTGGGTTGAGTTTCCCCAGTCACTCTGGGTGGCTCCCAACAGAACATTAAAAACACGATAAAATATCAAACATTAAAAACTTCCCTAAACAGGGCTGCCTTCAGATGTCTTCTAAAAGTCAGATAGTTGTTTATTTCCTTGACATCTGATGGGAGGGTGTTCCACAGGGCGGCGCCACTACTGAGAAGGCCCTGTGCCTGGTTCCCTGTAACCTCACTTCTCGCAGTGAGGGAACCACCAGAAGGCCCTCGGAGCTGAACGATGGGGGTGGAGCCGCTCCTTCAGGTATACTGGGCTGAGGCCGTTTAGGGCTTTAAAGGTCAGTACCAACACTTTGAAATTGTGCTCCGAAACGTACATGGGAAAAGAATGCTATGCTAGATGGTCCCTTGGCCTGATCCAGCACAGCTCTTCTTATGTCCCTATGACTGAAACAATAGGAATGGTATTATCTAAGAATAAATATCCTCAGGGGATTGACCTGTTTGCAGCAGACTCTCAAGTAGTATCTAATCTGAAATCTCTGGGTGGCTAACTCAAGTGGTAAAAACAGCAAATGAGACACAATAAGGAGGGGAGGAGAAGGAGATTTTTGCAATGAACCCTCTACAGTGGCTCCTTAACCTTTTAAGGTGTGTTCGCTGGAATAGTAATGAGGACTAGCGGAATGAATATTAGGTGCTTACAGGTATTAGACCTTCCAATAGTGTAGCCCAGTTAGTTTGCTGCAGCAAAACCAACAAGGGATATTTGTAGCACCTTAAAAGATTAAGCCTAGAAACTGGTGAAGTTGTCCGGCCCCCCCCCTAATGTATTTTTATAAGTCCGCGTCCTGGTGTGAAGTGTCTGTAGGGCGGGATTATGGCCAATATTGTGTGTCCCCCCAGGGTGTTGGACTGCAACCCCCAGCTAGCATGACCAAGGTTAGGGATGGTGGAGGTTTTAAGCAGTACCCTGATGGGGCCCACATTGGCTCCCCTTGCTCTGTGCTGTAAGAGCATATGCTTAAGCACAAATCTCTCTGTGCAGGTGCCTCTGCCATTAATAATTTTATGGCTTCCTCTCCCAGTTGCCAGGAAGTGAACTTCTGCCAAAAATGCTGTGTCTCTGCAAGAGTTTCCTCTCCCTTCAATAAACCCCACAGTTCCCTTACACCCTTTAAACTGGGTTTGAAAATGGTTTAACCTTGCAGTGTAGACATGCCCTATGGTGCAACGCAAAACACTTTGTTTATAGGAAGAACAGTGCCGAAGAACTCCATCCCAGGGGCTAAATGCGGCCCTCCAGGCCCCTGTCTCTGGCCCTTGGGACTTTCTGCAGGCTACACCTCCTCCTTAGCCACTGACACAGCTTTGCACCTTCTTTTGAGTGCTTTGAACCTTGATAATTTCTCTTGCATGCCTGGGAGGAGGTTAGAGAGGAGTGCAAGTAGAAAGTAGCCCATGGTCCAGAGACAAAATTTGCATTAATTGCCTGTCCACTTTTGCTTTGGCCTTGTCCACTACACTGGCATGCGGCCCTCGAATGGTTGTCCAGAGGGGAACGTGGCCCCCCATTGGGCCGGAAAAAGGTTCCCCCATTTCTGCTTTAGGGAGACCTGTGTTTTGAGCTCACGTCCAATAGGTGGCGGTCATGGAACCGATTTGCGTTCCATGCAAGCGCAAAGGGAAGAATAGTTTTCTCCAATGTCCTCTTTCAAAGGCTGTGCTTTCCACGCAGGCGCACGGCGTTGGAGAGCAGCCTGCCTGCCTGCCTGCTTGCTCGTTGCGGGAGGGGCAGCCCAGAGCGCTCGGGTCCCGGACAGAGCCACAGCCACCACGCAGCAGCAGCGGGCGGTGTGTGAGCGGCCATTTCCCCCGCGGCTGCCCATCGTGGATGCTTGGAGGGCCCCCCTCCAATTCTCTTCCTGCGGCCAAAGAGGGAAACTTCCTCGGCGGGCGAGTCTCGTGGTGAGCGGGGAAACTTTTCTTCCTTCTTGTTTGTTCTTCGCCTTTGCTGGTTTGGGGAGCCCGCGATGCAGCGTCTGCACAGGATCGGGGATCGCGACCCTCTTCTGCGCTTTTTTAAAAAACTGCTGTAGGGAAAAGTGTGCCCATTCAATCTTGGCCAGGCCGAGCTTTTTCCTTGCGTTTGGGGGTTTAGGATCGGGCGCGCACGGTGGCAAGGCTGGCGGCGCTTGCGCCTCCTTGGGAGTAAGTCCCTTGGAACTCGTCGCGCGGTGGTTTTTAATCCGAGTCAATGATCGGTGCGCTTTCCACGTGCGAATAATGGCAACAGGTTCCTTTGCTCCTCGGCCGGCTCTTGCAGGGAAAGCGGCGCGTGGGGGGGGGGGTCCTCCATATTCCGCCTTGCGTGAAGTAAGCCTTTCTCTCCCCCCCCGGCCGCTTTGTGGGTGTGTTAGCAAAGATGGGATCCAGAAGGGGGTAGATGCCACTATTAAAGGGTGATCTTGGGCGAGGTGGGGGGTAAGTTTTGTCTTTTTAAAAGCATTTCTAAAGTCTGACATTTTACAGATTGGCCTCTGGGTGGCGGGGGGCTGATCATGGATCCCCTGCGAAGATTTGGGGGTGGGTAGAAAGGGAGAGGGAGGAGGAAGGGGGGCGTCTGTGCTTGCGGGAAGGGGGGCCTTGCTGCTCTTCCTTTAAGGGGGGGGGCTTGTTTGGCGGGTGTGTGTGTGTTGATTCGCCCTTGCAAAAGGCCCCCCCTTCCAGCTCCCTTTTACGCTATCTACTTCGAAGGGAGCGCCCCCTCCTCAATTTAAACGTGGCTTTATTCCAGACCAGGCAAAGTTGCAAATCTTAGAGGGGAGGGGGGCGCTTGGAGGAGGTCGGTGTGAAGTTTTGCAAAAGGCGCCGGAGGAGGAGAAGAAGACTCATTTTCTCCCCAACTTTTTAAAATTGTTTTGCAATGCGGGTGGGGGATTCTTCCACCCCCCACCCCCCCAAACAACTTCCTTCTCTTTCTGCACATTCTTCAGTCTTTGAGAATGTTGTAGGGCGGAGAGAATGGGACTTTTAACTGCATGGAAGCTGGTTTTTTCTTTTCTTCCAAAGTTCCTCTCGGGTTGCGTGTGGTGGTCTAATCTCTGGCATTTTGGGTGATCTGACTTGGTAGAGGCCAGGAACGGGATGCGATCTGTTCTATGCCTATGAGGGGCCCCCCTGCCTCCGACTGCCGCTATGTATGCCGTCCTTTTGCGCTTTTGGAGACATACTGTGCGTGAGCCTGTTGAATTCCACTGTGCCCCTGGAAGGGGTTTTTTTTGGGGGGGGGGCTAGGCTGTTGCACACGCGAGGCATTTAAACCCCATTCTCACCCCCGCCTTCCAGAACCCGGGGGATGTATAGTTTCTTAAGGGGTGCTGCGAATTTCTAGCCCTGGGAGGGTAAACTACAGTTCCCATTATTTTCTGCAGAGAGAGGCTGTGCTTTAAAGGCATGGTGTGCACGCAAAAACAGGAATCTCTTGGGAGATTTAAGTGCTGTGGGTTGGGGGGAGGTCCTGGATGTCTGAAGGCCCCCCTCCTCTCCCTCCCAGCTCAGTTTCTCTCTCCCCCCCCACTTCCAATTGTGTCCTGTAAAGTCATTGTGTTCCTTCTCTCCTCTCCACCCCTCCCCTTCCAAATGTTTTTCTGTCTAATAGGCTGGTATTTTGTAACATCTGGGCCTTAAACGGAGCTTCATTTCAGCAGGCAACACTGTAATTTCTCAAGTAGTACTTTAGAATTTTGAAAGCGTGATTGAGAGAAACTTAAACACACACACACAAAACCCAATGCCATTTTTTTTGGGGGGGAGGCGGTTACAAATAACTAATTGTGGTGAGGTTTCCATTCCTCCTCCACCTACCTTGCAACTTTTCACTAATATGAAGTCTGATTTTTGAATACTGTACCCTCGCCCCCAATTCTGGTTTGGGATTGTGATCGTTCCTGCATATGCAGGCTAATTTGCAAGTTTTCTTTCTAGAGTTCTTATTGAAGGCCATTGGTTATAGCGCACACATACTCTCTCTTACCATTATTCTGTTTTTCATTAATGTACGTACCATTGAGACTCTGGGTAGTTTCTAAGCAGTTTGCAAAAACATGAAAAGGAACTGCAAAGCATTGGTAAAAATCCCAAATTGTTAAAAAGCACATCTAAATTTGAAATACACAGCGAAGCAACCCCATTAAAATATAAACCACCATAATTAAAAATGATTTTAATTTTGATCCACTTGATATTCTGGGGAAGGTCTGGTGGAGAGTTGCTTTATTAAATGTGTACAGCATAAAGTTTTTTGGGAAAACTTCTTGAGCAGAAAGTACATGTATCCCATTTAGTGGATGAATAGCTGGCGGAAAGGTTTAATAGGAAATTACTGAATACTGTGCAGTACATTTCATTGGTCTGCTATGAGCTTGTTCATTCAGCATTCGTTCTGTTTTGTTTGCTCAAAGCTCACATGGTGGTTGGATTATGTCCAGTCTTTATTGAGCATTTGTTCTGATTTGTTTATGGGCTGTATGACAATGAGCATATATACTGATACTTCTGTTCATAAGTTCTCTGTTGAGCATGTATTTGTTCATTCACCCCACACTTTAAATGCCTTTTCTCCATCACTTTCCGAGCCACAAAAAGTTTGGTTTTTAAAAGTGGATTTGTTGTGCTGGGGCAACAGTAATTCTACAATCCACTTTATTTGTGCAAATGTACGTTGACAGTCTGTGTCTAAATCTCTCCCTCAAAATATTGACAATCTGGAGACGCTGAGAGTACGCCTTGATGGAATACTGAAATTATTTACAGTACATTCAAGGGTTTTCTGTAATAACAATAATGTTTTATGCGCTCTGTTTTCTTCCTACCTTCTCTACCGGTTATTGACACACACGCATATATAATATAATTCAGGACATGTCCAAAGTCCAATTTACAGCTATTTTGCGTATTTTCCTTTCACATCTGCTAGATTTTCCTTTATCTTCCTAAAGCTTTTCTGTGTTTGTCAGTGAATCCATGTTTTTATTTGTATAAACAGAAGTTTGCTTTGATTTTTAAAACAAAAAAATTGCACATTATTTTTATTTTTTTTATTATTAATACTTGAGTCTGGAGCCGCCCTGCCTATGAGGTGGAATGAGGTGGCTGCCTCAGACGGCACTTTCCCAGGAGGCAGCATCCAATTCCACCACCCAGCTTTGCTGCCAGTCTCCCCAGCATCTTGGGGCAGAGAGGGACTGGGTGGCAAATTTAGACTGGGTGGCAAAGTTCTGCAGAACTCCTCCCCTCCTGCCGATTTGGGAAGAGGGCAGGTGTTCCGCCACCCAGCTTTGCTGCCGGGTGGGATGGGGGAGATCTTTCCCTCCTGCCCGACCTTGCGGTGGGGCCTTGCATTCTGAGTCAGCCAGATTTGGCCTGGGTGGTGGCTCTCTCCAGTGCCTGATCTCTAGTTTAGCCTCTTGAAGCTGTTTTGCAGAGTTAACTATGTGAAGTTGAAGGAATGGGTGGGGCGCTTCTAGTAGTTCATGTTGTTGTCCTAATGTGCGTGGGAGATTTTAATCTTGCAGCATAATCGGTACATGTTTTTCCCCTAGTCTGTGCAAAGTGGATGTATGTATGTTTGTTTATTTACCCTTTATTAAAAAGGAACGCTCCCCCCTCCGCAGTGAAGAGCCTGGGTTAGAGGTGTATGAAATGTGCCTCTAAAATCTCAGCTTCAATTCTAGGTTTCTACTTCCGTTCTACAAAGTGAGCTCCGTGAGGAAGGCTGTGCACACACTATATCTTTATAGCACATTTGAAGCACATTCTTCCTTAAAGAATTTGGGTTACTGTAGTTGAGGGTTTTGACCTAGTTGAGATTCCTGCATTGCAGGGGGGGGGGGGGTGGGCTCGATGATGCTTGAGTCGCTTCCGACTCTATTGTTACTGAGAATTGAAACTATGAAGGGAAGAACCACAGTGCCCAGATTTCTTGGAGGGAAAGAATGTGTTTTGAAGGTATAATGGGTACACAGCCAAAGACTTTGGCCTGGTTTGCCAGAGGTGGGGAACCTTTTTCATCCCGGGGACTGGATTCCCTTCTGGCCAACCACCTGGGGGCCCCATGCCGGGGTGGGTGGGGGCCAGAGGCATAAATGAACATGAATTTTACCTTCATACAGTAGGTTAGTTTCGTGTATCCCTCTCTATCCTCCATTGATGCAAGCAGTGCATCGGAAAGGACACTTCGTTCGGAGCAACAATTCAGAGGTCTTGCCTCGTTGTCCTAAGGTGGGTTTGTGGTTTGTTCCCTTCCATAAAAATCATAAGCTGCAGCCAAGTTTGGTTTTTGGCTTGGCACTTATGGTTCATTGTGTGTGGGAAACAAACCATGAATCTCAAGGAGACATGCGGGATTACTAAGAGCGTTTGATACCCCTCTCCTCGGCCGAAAAGGCTCCCAGAGTGTGGCTTGCTCACAGTCAATTACAACATGGTTGTCCCACCCACAGGCTTACATACAATTTTAAAAAACAACACACAAGGTGAAAGGGAAGGAAGGGGGAAATCAAACTCTGATACCAATTTCTAATCGGTTATAATGACCAGCTGACACAGCTCAAGGGTAGGCGGTGACGGTTGGAGCTGGCCTTTTCTGATGGAGTGAGAGCCCTGCTTTCCGTCTCTCCCACTAAGGCTGTCTGATGAAATGGCTGCTCCCAGATGACAGGGGAAGGAGAGCAGTTGCTCCCAGTGTGTGGTGGCGAGGAGCCAGTTTTTGAGCCACATGCACCAGCAGGCTGCCCATTTGCTTTAAGCACAACTGTGGCTTATTTAATGTGACTTCCAATACAGCCATTTTGATGCAGTAGTAGGACTTGGGGGTGGGTATATGACTTATGAAGCACTCCACCAGAGCCAAGTAAAAACGCTTCCTTGTTTTTTTTAAGTGCCAGTGCCATTTTTTTTTAAAAAAG